TGCTTTATATATTGTAGGTACAGTGCTTAATTTAATGAACATGTATTTAGATTTTATACTGTAAATTAGCCCCCCACACCTGAGCATTACCCCACACCTGCATTGGGTCACTGCCTCACTTCTCATAGAAGTTCACTTCCCTGGACTAAATCTGTGGTTTTACATTAAGCCGATGCTGGCTGCTGACACTACACGGTACATTAGGTCTCCACATTAGGAAAGAGGCTTCATTTATTTGACAAATGATCATTAAATACCCACTGTGTATTAAGTGAGATGGATATAGTGGTAAAGAAGAAATACAACATGGTCCCTGCTCTCTTACACCCTGCAGACTAGTCAGAAATATATACTATATGAGATCTATTCTTAACTGATAGGGAAGTGATAAGTAACATAATGATCAATTCAGTGACCTACAAACACACAGAAATGAGGATCCTAAGACAATACACACTAAAAGAAAACAATCTATTATTCTTTAATTTCCTGTTCCATTCTTGGCAAAAGAGTTGCCTGTAATAAATGTGGAAGGGGAAAAGATAATTTGCCCCATCTCTCCTTGGACCCAGCATTCAATCTTGCTCTAGCCCATTCTCTAAGGAGATACATCTTGAGGTTATCCACCTCAGCCTCTCTCCAGTCTCAGCTTCCCTGGGCTGGAGGGTTTCAGTGATGACTCAGGACCCTTGGCTCTATTAACTCCTGGGATCCAGGCTGCTTTATAAAATGCGTGGGCCTTAGCTTCTGTCTTCAAAATCTTCCCTGTCCACCAATCAGGAGCTTCTGGTCCCTTTCAGGCAGGCACATCACAGCTAACTAAATATACTACCTTAGGTCTAGGTGCTTGCTTAGGAGAATGGCTCTGGGGTGTTCTTGATTTGAGGAGGTGGCCCTCATATTTTTCCACGGAAAAACTGAGGATTTTAGGGCATCCATGTCAGCCATCTGTTGGGACAAGGCTTAACGGTGACTGGGATGCTTAGAATGTGACAATTTGGTGATTTAAATGTTCTATGTCCATGCCATATTTCACTTTTTCTTCACTTCACTTTTTCTTCCCCAAACAGTAGGCATTCTCAAAGTGTGGTGTAGGGACTCCTGGGGGTCCTGTGATCCTTTTAAGGGGGCTCAAGAGGTCAAAACTATTTCATAAATACTAAGATGATATCTGCCTTTATCACTTTCATTTTCTCACAAGTATAGAGTGGACTCTGGGAGCCTGACAGTTTCACAGTATTTGGACTTTCCTGATGAGCTGGTAGTGATAATAATGTATGTGATTTTTTAATACTGTGTGTCAGTACTTGGAAGATCTGTGTAACTGTGAACCAGTATTTCCCAAATGATCAGTGCATGATACTACAAATCATTCATGAGTTATAGATCTATGGTGCTAATACAGCAAAGGATTCTTATTTATTTATCTTAAAAAGATTTATTAATTTCAAATTTTTTTTTTTGAGCGAGCAAGAGAGCGTGAGGGGGAGGGGTAGAGGGAGAGTGAGAGAGAGAAAGTCTTAAGTAGACTCCATGCTGAACCAGATGTGGGGCTCGATCCCATGACCCTGAGATCAAAATCTGAGCTGAAACCAAGATTTGGACGCTCCATCGACTGCGCCACCCAGGTGCCCCAAGGTCCTCAATTTTTAAGGACATCAAGGGGTCCTAAGACCAAAAAGCTTGAGAAATGCTGCAAAGGAAAAATTAAAATACTATGAAAAACTGATAATACTATTTATGAACTGTCCTAAGCCCTATAACAAAAGCAGTAATTTTATTTTCTATTTTTTTATTTATTTATTTTTATTCTTATGTTAATCCCCATACATTACATCATTAGTTCTAGAAAAGCAGTAATTTTATAGAGAAATGAGTAGGAGATGGGGTGGGCAGATGTCTTAAGGGGCTCTCTGAAGATCTGGCAATAAAGGAGACGGACATACACCTGAACTGGCCATGGGAAACAGAAGCCACATTCACTGGTGAGCCAATAAGAGAAGACCATCTATGTGTGGTGGTGAGTGGGGAGGGGTGGCTATACACCGTAGTGTTCAGGAGTACAAGCTCTGTGGTCTGAAGGACCTCGTTCAAATCCTGATTCTAACACCTATTAGCCATATGACCTTAGGTGAGTTAGTTAATCTCTCTCGGCCTCAGTTTCCTCAGTCATTCTTCCAGATAAAACCAGAGAAACTGCAGAATAGTCCTGGGACAAAGAATATGACTTCCATGTGGGGTTTCTCAGCAAGTCTTGGCAGACAGCCATGCCCTCTAGGAATCTACAATTTTTTTCAGATGGAGAAATGAGAGGAAGTGAACATTTTCATGCAAAGCAGGACATTTCAGAAGCCCAGTTTTATTTTTTGAGCTAGGGAGCAATCAGTGCAACTCTGTGCTAAAGCCTATAGATTAATCAGAGACCATTCAATAACAGCACTAAGGTATTCATTAACTAGCTCAGTGACGACTCTCAAGACAAGGGTTGGATGACAACAAAGCTGAATCACACTTTTCCCCAAAAAAAGCTGAACTAGGAGAAAGGTGAGGTGAAGGTGAGACAGAGAGATGGTTCCAGGCCACAAAGAAGTCCCAGAAGAGGTGAAATCAGATTTATAAAAATCCCCCATTCATTTGTCCAACAAATATCTGAATGCTAGCCATATGCAGGCCCTGCTTTTAGCACTTTATCTGAGAGGAAAGAATACGAGTCCATGCAGAGTAAAAAGCAACACATAAAGAGGTATGTATAAAACATAATAGAAAGATGAAATGGTAATGTCCAATGAAGTGTGGAATGGGGGAGGTCAGGGATGGTTTTCTGAGAGAAGGATGTGAAGAATAAGTATGGTGTGGACATTGAGAGAAAAATAGGGCATCTTAGAGAGGGGTTTCTGGAGCAAAACTGAGGGTAGGAAACAAACATATGAGAAGCATCTAGCAGTTCATTCTAGTGTAAGCGCAGGGTGCCTGACAGGGCGCAGTGACTGGGGACTGAGAAGACCAGAAGAGGGGGGTGCTAGGGCTGGCGCTTTGTTAGTAAACAGAGTGAATTTGATTAGGATAATTCCCTCTCCCATTCTGCATGATAATTATTCTACACTGTCAATATTTTCTTTAAACCCCCTACTCAATCTCTCATTCCCTCCAAAAGGACTTTGAATTTCCTGTATTCCATATGGTATCCATCCTTATGCTGGACTGAAATATGTCTTTAAAGTTCTCAATGACTTATATTGCCAAATCCAGTACATATTTCCAATTCTGAGCACATGAACCATTTCCATTAAATTTCAATCCATTGATCACTCCCCTGCTTTCTCCAACCTTTGTGCTCTCCGGGCTTCACTGAACTGGTTCTCTAGGCACTTCTGATGACCATTCATTTGTTTTCCTTCATGAGCTCCATCTCCAATGCCCACGGACATCAGTGGTCATGTCCCTAGCCCACCATTCCTTTCTTTACCTGACACAACCTCTCTGAGTATCTCAAGTCTCACGGTTCCAGTCACCGTCTCTCACCTCAGAACCTCTTCCCAAAGCTATCACTTGCCTGTCTGTGTGTCTAAAAGACCTCTCTACTTGGTTATCCAACAAGTAATTCAAGCTTGGGGTTCCATACCGGAAGTTACTTTTCTTCCAAATCTGGCCTGTCCTTTCTTCTGTCCTACTGCTCCCTCACCAACAACACATACATTACCTAATTCCCATTTGTCCCTTATTTACCTTCCCAAGAAAGCCGTTGCCGAGCCTCCAGGCTGCAGTAGATCTGTGCCCTCTAAAACACTCCAGCCTAGTGCAATTATGTAACAATATGGAACCACTGATGCTATTACAGAAATAAGTGTTAGAGGCCGCTTCACGACAGGGATGGTGTTCGAACCTCCATGAATCTCTAGGACCCGTCATAATCCCCGACGCATGACAGGCACTCCGTGACTGCTTGGGAGTGAATAATGAGAGCTCTGTTTTACTAAGAAGCGCTCTGTCAATGGTATAGAAAACATGCAGGAGAGGGAGAAAGATCAGAGGAAACTAACCTGCATTGGCTAATTGTAGTAGAATGAAACAAAACAAAGGTCTCAACTAAGATAGGATTAATAGGATAGAAAGAAGGGGATGATACGAGAGAGATTCTGCTGTGATAAAATGAACAGGACTAGCAGAGACTGAACTGGAAGGTGAGAGATACAAGGAAGAGGCACAGTGAAGCATCTCTGGGAGATAAAAAAAAAAAACACTGGGTACTCTGCCATAAAACTGGTAACTGTAATCTATTCTATACCACACAAACTTTCTAGCATTTCCTTAAAATGGGGAATTAAATGGCCTAAGAATTGGATTTTGGTGGTGTTCTTTGAAATCCAAAAATAGGTGTTATGTGGTATTATTTATAGTAACAGAATGCTCAGCAATTATCCATAAGTCCTCTCCCCTCTCTTTCTCTTAGTTTCCCCATTTATCAAAGTTGGCTACAACTGGAGGCTTTTAATCTACCGTAGGTTAATTTATCAGCATGACACTATATCTAGAATAATTAATTACTAGAATTTGCCACACTCAAATAAGGTGACCTAAAGAGTTTCAGGACTCTTTTTTTTTTAACCTACAATTATATGCAGTTCTTAAACAGAGATGTTTGAAAGCTAAATTCTGATGTTCCAAGGTTTAAGGAGAAAGGTACTTCCTGAAGTTTCAGAATGGAAGGCCCACTGGCGTGACACGGATCTTCCAGCTGAAGTAAGTCTGCCAAAGGTGATCACACGGTCCTAGGGCTGGCTAGAGCAGTTGGGGGTGGGGAGGACAGCCTTGTAGCAGAGGACCATCCTAACACACCCACAAAGCCTGCCTCTAGAGAAGAGTATGGAGCATGGAGAGGTAGGCCAGAGGATGTAGGGAAGGGGCTGGAAAATGAAGAGCAGACGGTGAATTCGAGAATCAAGTGAGATTAGGAAAAGCAGAATTTCTTAGGCTTATTTGACCCAGCGCAGAGAGTTTACCTGATTCATGATGGAAAATTTCCTCCCAATTCTGTTGTCTGGCAGCCGAAAGCCCTTCCTCCTCATACCATCTTCTGACTCCGACTTAAACACCTTCTCAGGATCCCCTTTTTCCTCTCCTTCAGAGAGTTCCTTCTGCTTCCTCTTCTTTCTCCTGTTACGTCTTTCTTTGGCACTCTTGGAACTGAGTTTAGATATTTCAGAGGAGCTGCGAGGAGAGCCTGCCCCTTCTTCACCTTCTTCCTCGATGGCATCTTCTGAGACAGTGCCTGCGGAGGTTGCCATTGCAGCAGCCTAGGGGAGGAGCCACAGTGGCAGGCCAGTCAGAAGCTGTTAACTGGAGCCCCCCGAAGCCACGCGACCAGTGCAGATCATTTCCTTTCCCACATGTGGGGGAAGCAGGGGAAAGGAGGAAGGCGGACCAGCCCGTTGAGGAGACTGTGGCCAGGACCTGGCTGTCTCCATTTTCTGGTTGATCTGTGTTATGGCACATGGCCCTACGTAATCAGGGCAGAACCCAGTGGTGAGAACTCTGGGATTTATTCTCTTGAGTTTCTCAGACAAGAACTTAGCTGCCTTCTTGGTACCAAAAATTTCTTTGGGGCAAGTCTGAAAATGAATGCTAAGAAACTATATTATATATTACGGGCCCAACAGTATAAAAACATTTGTGTATTTGGATAAGGATCAGAGAGCAAAGTGTTAGGGTGGTGGGATCACTAGTCTGTTTTTCAAATTTTACTTTACTATCTTACATGTGTCTTCTTTTCAATTACAGCCAATATTTTCATGACTGCAGAGAATCTCTGAAGGAGATCCTAATGATTTCCTCAACAAAAAGGCTGTGCTTACATGAGACACCATATACCCTGCTCTGGCCACTTGTCTTCCTCCCAGCCACCAGAGCAGATGAACACTAAACAGTTGAGAAATTCAACTAGAGATCATATTAACAAACAATTGGGCCATTAAGACAAATGGAATAACTGGACCAACCATCTGCAGTTGTTACTTGGGTTATTTTAATCAGATTAATGACTTCTGTTTGACCATGTGCCTAAAAAAGATCAACTGGAATGACAATCAGATGGAGCCTTAGTCATGGTGATCTGGCAGGAAGTTACTGTAGCAAAGAATTGATCACCAACCTGTGCCTCTTCCTGTTGCTTCTTAAGTTGCTCCAACATTGCTTTGAATTCAGCCTCTTTTTGCTCTGCCTCCTCCAGGGTTGCCTGATTCTGCTCTTCATAAGCCATGGCCACCACAGCCAAGATCAAATTCACGAGATAGAAAGATCCCACAAAGATGACCAAGACGAAGAAGATCATGTACGTTTTCCCAGCTGCTCGTAAAGTCTGTCAAGACAGAAACCATTTTCTGAGTCACGTGCATCAAATGAACCAGGCTGAAAATAACTCATGGGATAATACTCCTCTGCAGGGGCACCACTGCATTTTGAGTAGAACAGTCCTTTATTGGGGCGCTGGGTGGCTCAGTTGGTTAAGCGACTGCCTTCGGCTCAGGTCATGATCCTGGAGTCCCGGGATCGAGTC